TATAAAGGAATGCCACTTTCCAGGGAACGGTGTTTCTTTTGTCCTGTGTGCTGATGGAGTGTGTAACCGCAGAGTAGTCCTCACCACGGGGACACAGTACACCCTGCAAATGGCAGGATGTGCCCAGTAAGCATGCCACCCTTGTGCTCGGATGGCTTATCCTCCCGTCTGACCCCAGTAGGTGGTGTCCACAGCTTCAGAGAGCTGGCTCTTGGGCGTTTTACTTCATGGATGTTTCTCCTTGGCTGAGGTGTTCTTTCTGTGAGGCTGGCCTTTGTCATATGCCATTTGAGACTTCGAGGCTGATGTCATCCATTATCATTAGCGCTTGGAGTGATGCAAGATCTTAAATTATCCATTACCCCAAGGAACGCATTTAGTACGTTGAGCAAGTTCCTCTCTATCCGTTTTCGAGAAGGGCTTAAGGGACAGTGCTCAGAACTTCAAGGTTTGGATGTTTACTTTTTTGTTTTTTTCCAGGAGAGTTGGTATTAATGTCTGACTTTGGACAGCTTCGTTAATGGGCAGTGGAAGGTTAATGGCTAGGCTTAGGGCTCTCTGTCTCTCCAGATCTTTATTCCTGATTTTAATAATGAATATTATTTTTTTTAGTTTAAGATTTTGAATATGTTTCTTCATTGTATGAAACATTTACAAATACACACACACGCACACTCAGGAAAATTGGGGGCCACAACTTTACTAAGTACACATTTAAATATTGTATATAATGATTGTATCTATGTACATTAATGTACTTAGCATTACCATCTCAAACTACTTTTTCTATTTTATTTTGTTTCGTTTTGTCTCACTATGTAGCCGTGGCTGGCCTGAAACTTGCTATGTAGACCAGGCTAGCTTTGAACTCATAGAGATCCGCCTGCCTCCCCCACACTTCAACCCTGTGTTGGGGTTAAAGTTATGCCCCACCATACCCAGCCACAGACTGGGTAAAAAAATCTCATTTGTTCTTTGAAAATTCTGTTTATTTTGATCATATCATCCTCATCCTACAATTTCTCACAAATCCTCCCAACTTACACAACTTGTATTCTCATTCTCTCTCTGTCTCTCTGTGTCTCTGTATCTGTCTCTGTCTCTCTCTCAACCTATTTGGTCTAGTTTGTGTTGCCTGGCTACACCTGGGTGTGGGACCTTCCCTGAGTGTCACTCACTGAAGAAAACTGACACTCCCACTCCCAGGAGCCACTGAGTGTAGATAGCTCCTTAGCTGGGGGTGGGGCTTCATGCCCACTCCCCTCCTCCGTGTTGGGATTTTCGCCTGGCAGTGTCTGTGCAGGTCTCTCGCCTACTCGCGAAGTCCTCCTGAGCTGATATGTACTTCTGCCTTGTGTCTGGAAAATGCTGCTCCTATGAAGTCACTTAACTACTTTTGGCTTCCAATATTTCTTCCTTCTTTCACATAGATCCCTGAGCCTCGGATGGGAGAGATGTAACACAGACATTCCACTTGGGGCTGAGCATTCTGCTGTCTGTCAGTAGTTCTCTGTATAGAGAGAACTTCATTTGTTATGAATTTCTGTTAATTGCCATCCACTACACAAAGCTTCTCTGACAAGGGCTGAGCTCTGCTCACTGTTTTCAAGTTCTAATTTAGACTCTGGGTTTAGGCTCCTGGCCTAGTGTAATGTTTTATATTCATCGTATAAATAAAATTGAGTTTGGACTTTCTTATATGATTGCTGTCTTGATCCTCCTGTCTCAGTTGGTGCCCTATTGCTGTGAAGATACAACATGACCATGGCAACTCTTATAAAAGAACGTGTTTAACTGGGGCCTTGCTTGTAGTTTTGGAGGCTTAGTCCATTATCGTCACGGCAAGGAGCATGGTGGCGGGCATGGCAGGCCTGTTGCTGGAGAGTCACTGAGAGCCACATCCCGATCCACAGGCAGAGACAGCAGCACTGAGCATGCTGTGAGCTTTTCGAAACTTCCAAGCCCACCCCAGTGACATACCTACTCCAACAAGGCCACACCCCCAGTCCTTCTCAAATGGACTAAGCATTCAGATATGTGAGCCTGTGGGTGCCATTTTTATTCAAACCACCATACCACTTACGCATGACGACACTGGCAGCCATAACCCTCTCACTTAGCCTTCTGCAGCTGTCTGCTGAGAAGCCTGCACAGGACTTCACTCAGCCAAGGCTTAGTTTTCTCATTTACAGAAGAAGTGGGGCAAAGATACTGGGAGCATGCAATGAGGTGGCTAAGCAAGAGGGTTGCCCGTGTAGGCCTGTAGGTTCAGGTTTTCAGAGGCACCCACTGGGATTAGTAATCTCAGAGCTATCAGTGAGGCACGTGGGAAGGTCAGCAACAAGTCAGCACCTGGACCTTATTGCCTGTCACTGCTGTACCACAGTTGAGAGCTGCCCTCGAATTTTGTGCTCCCAAGACGTATTCCTTGGTTGTTAAGATGCTACATCTTGCTCAAAATAAATCTATATGATAACTAGACACTATATAGCCAGCAATGACCCCAGTGTTGAGTGGTTTTTTTTGGAAGAGAAGCTGGAAGGAAGTGTTAATGAAGGGAAGATGGTACAGGTAACCTTGAAAGATGCTGGACTTTGGAAAAGGCAAGTGGATTGGAGCCCTGAATAGAAATAGAGGCAAAAAGCATGATGACAGGAAGGTTTTCTAACTTAGAGAACAGGCCATATATCAGCTCAAACATGGCTGAGACGGCAGAGGTGGACAATATGGAGGCAAGGGCCCTTGTACTTATCCAGAAACAGTGAGGATCTTGGAAGCATTTTTAAGAACTTGTTATGAATTATGGCGCTGAGGAAAGCAGAGCTGTAAGGTCACTGGTGGTAGATGGAGCAGCAGTGGTCACACCTGCCAGTAGGATGCCAGGGCAGGGCCGCAGGTGGCACGGGGCAGGGGCCAGAAGGGTGAGCCAGCTGTCCAGCTCACGCTTTGGGTGCCATACTAGTTTTTTTCTTTTCTCTCTCTCTCTTTTTTAGTCTTTTCAAAAGAGCACCTCATAAGCCTTTGATGGATTTATGGTGGTGCTTTACTGCAGCTGGCCACAGATGACCACTGATAATTCTCAAAGTGATCCTATCCACACAGAAATATGTGGGCAAGTGTCAAGGGCAGCACCTGAAGTGCAGTCATACTCTAAACGCACAGCTGCCGTTTGCTTTTGGATCCCTGCTTGAGCCTCATGTCTGGGATCCTGCTGATGCTCTGGCATGAGGGAATGATTGCCAGTAGCAATGACATCAGAGCAAGGGTGTAGTAAAAAGATTTTGGCTGCCTAGGGAGGAACCTCTGCCTTTTAGCCTTTCAGAGTGTTGACAGTTAACAACAGCTTGGATAACCTATGTGTGTGTGTGTGTGTGTGTGTGTGTGTGTGTGTGTGTGTGTGTGT